TTTTTTCCAAGGCCGAGGGCTATTCTGCTGTATGTGTGTGCTGCATTGTGTGTGCATCTGCTAGTGGACACTTGGTCACTTCCCTTTTTGGCTTTTGTGAATATGAGTGCACAAACACTTCTTCAGAGCCAAATTTCTGTTCATCTGGGTGTATTTTCAGGAGTGGGATTGCTCAGTCAGACGGTGGCTGAGGGTTAGTTTTCAAGGAGCCTCCACATTGTTCTCTGTGACACTTGCGTCATCTTCCTTATCCCAGCAATAGAGCCCAGAGATTCTAATGCCTTCACATTCTTCTCAGCACTACCAAAATTTTTTAAAACAGTAGCCATCATAACGGATGTGGGATTAGTTTTAATAAAAAATTTTTGTTTTTTGTACTAAGGATTGAACCCAGTGGTGCTTTTACCACAGAGCCATGTCATCTATGTGTTATTTTGACCTGAGGTCTTGCTAAGTTGCTTAGGGCCTCACTAAATCTCAGAGGCTGGTTTTTGTTTTTTTGGTACTGGGGATTGAACTCAGGGACACTTGACCACTGAGCCACATCCCCAGCCCTGTTTCGTATTTTATTTAGAGACTAGGTCTCGCTGAGTTGCTAAACGCTTCACTTTTGCTGAGGCTGTGTGTGTGTGTGTATGTGTATGTGTGTATGTGTGTGAGAGAGAGAGATGCTGGGGAATGAACTCAGGGCCTTGTGCATGCAGGGCAAGCACTATGCCAATTGAGCTATATCCCCAACCTGGCTTTGAACTGGCTTTGAACTTGTGATCCTCCTGCTTCAGCCTCCTGAATCCCTGGGGTTACACAGTGGTGTGTGCCACTATGCCTGGCTTAATGATAAAAATTTTAGATAGAATTAGACAAGTGGCTCCATGTATTTCTTGGTAAGGTGGAATAATTCTGCCAGCATGACAAAACCAAAAACAGAATGGAGAATGACAGGGAAGGCCAGTCATTGTACATCTGCTGGAAGAAGAAAAGCTGCTTTTCTGTGCCTGGGGTAGGGCATGGACCCTTGCTGCATGGTGCTGAGGTTTCTTGAAAACAGAGCATGGAGTCAGAAGGTAGCAAGACTCTACCTCTTCAGCTGTAACAGGGACCTTTAAAGAGGGTAGTGTTGAGGTTTTCATTTTACAGCTGAGGAGCAGCAGGCATGGAAGGACTGCACTCAGCACTCGGGGTGCTTGGTAGTGTGTCTGCGACCACTGAGCTCCTCCAGCCTTTGTGTCTTCATTCCCTAACGTGGAACAACACAGTTGCAATGAGGTGAGCAAACTGTAGACCACAGGGTAGGAAAGCTCAGCTGACGTGTGAATGTGACATTCATAGCACACTTCCAGCCCTGATGACTCATGATTCCTGAGTTATGACTTGGGGTGAGCAAGTTGTGATGTTAGGTATGCTACCTGATTCCTCAGAGTTGCCTGCATTGTTGGAGGTGTTGAGAAGAGCCCAGACTCTGCTGTGTGACCATGTAGCCTTGGGGTACCTTTTTTGGGTTTCTGCTTCCCTGGATTTGTAAATAAAAACTGGATGTGCCAGTGTTTTGAAAGTGCCTGGTGAAGCTTGGGCATTGCCCAGGGCAAGGCCATTCTGCTTTCATTTCCTCAGTGCCCCCTTTGTGCTGTCATGGCTGGCACATGGTCAGTGCTTAGTAAGCCTCAGTATTGTCATTGTCCTATTTCACAGATACAGAAACCAAGATTCAGGCCAGCCAAGTGATTCTTTGACCCACAGGTAGAACTAGGGTTCCTTTGTTTCTTCCAGGCACAAATCCAGGGCCTTCTCCTGAGGTCCTCATGTGACAGAAGGGAGGTACAGCAGTTGCCGGGAATCTCTGCCAGCAAGTGACCAGCCTCTGGGAGCTGGGTTGTATTTTGAGACTTGTCTGTTTTGAGAAGGCGATTATCCTTATTATGACTAATGTTTTATTAAACTTTATCAAGCTATGGTTTTTGTTGATAGGCTAAAATTTTTCTAAAAATTGTTTGTTTTTTATGGTAGAAAAAGGCATAATGGCAGAAATGATAATTAGTGATCTCAATGGAAGTAAGTAAACTTGGTTTAGATACTGAGCATTGAGAAGTCAGTATATGTTGTAATTATCAGTTGCTAATTGGAGAGGCCATGTCATGAGGTGTTGAAGTCATTTAAATCTGTGACTCCTGGCCGCTGTGGACCTGGGAGAGCGGAGGAGTGGAGCCAGGAGCTTCATGAGCAGTCTCTCCCCTGCCCCCTGCTGGCTGACCTAAAAGTACTCATCTGTACCTGGCCTTTCCAAGAAGTACTGCTTGGCACAGCCATATGGAGATAGTTTTTATGCACTGCTTTTGGAGGCATTTTATAAGCAGCTCTTATTTGTTCTTGCCTAGGATCTTCTTAGGCAGTTTGGACAAAGTCGTCCACGGTGTGGGGAGGTTTGGCTTTGCGCTCACAGCCTCCCCCAGCCTCAGGACCTTGTCTCATTTCACCCTGTTTCCATTCTTGCTCTACTGAGAGTTTAGTGGGAGTACCCAAGCCTAACAGTTGTAGGATTGACTGATCATTTTGCAGTACGGGGGATGGAGGGCACAGGTTACTCTCTGTTGCTGACACCATGCTCTCTTGCTGCTGCTCTCCCCAGCTGTCCACTCTCAGTTCTCAGTGGTTCCCATAGCTGCTGCTTCTGAGTGACCAGTCCCTGGGTGTGAGTGATCCCTGGGCATGCCATCACCCACCTTGCTCTCTGGGCTTCCATCTCTTACCTTTCCATGTAATGGCAAAACCTGATCTTGTTGTGAAATGAAATCTTAAAAATGGTAAGAAACCAATGCCTGGGGAAGGGTCAGTTCGCCTCCCCTCTTAGCCTTTTTCCAGGAAGCCTAAGTAACCACAGGTCCCTACCTTTTTGGATTGTAAATAACTGTCCTAAGAAGCAAGTTTGGCTACTCCCTCTTGAAACTTAACAGATGCCTATGAAAAGAGCCCTTTCTTCTTATCTGTTTCTGTGAGCATGCTTAATGTTGAAGACCCTGCACAAGACCTTCAGCTATGTAAATTAGGATTTTTTTTTTTTTGGTGGTGCTGGGGGTGTTATGCATGTGAGGCAAGCACTCTACCAACTAAACTATATCCCCGGCCTGGCAATTTCTTTTGAAAGAGGAAAAAGCCCCAATGATAGGATGGGTCCAAGATGACACCAAATAACCTATAAATGTTGTGAGAAACTGGATCAGGCTCAGAATTTGGAGTTTTGTTTTCCTCTGGGCCCTCCAGTATATTAAAATAAAGTCTGGAGTTCTCCTCTTCTCTGAATGCTGCTTGCTTCTTCTTCACCAGTCTGTTTCTGGAAATATCCACAGCCCTGGCTCTTGCACAGTAGGAAATGAGGACGTGCTGTTGCTGGAATAGATCACAAAGCAGTGCAAGGGGTGGCAGAGGAAGCCCCCACTCACTGGTTAGAGTCAGCAGCTGGGCTTAGGCCCTTTTTGTCCACATTCCTTCTCAATTTTGTCCTTGTTCCCACATCACTGCCAGTGCCTTTGCCCAGTGGCCCCCACACCTCCTTGCACCACTCTCTTTTTACTCAGGTGGTTGGTGGGATGGGTCTGTGGTGTAAAGGCCCTGGCTCCCTCTCATGGTTGCTGTTGGTAAGGGGATGCAGAAGTTCTGATCTTCTTGAAGGGATGGCAAGTGCCACAGGGCTTGATGTGTAGAATACAGTCGTGGCTGGTGTCTTTTTAACTTTTGAGAGCCTAAATTCCAGAGGCACTCACTCTCTGGCTTGGGAGATTGGTGCTTAGGCAAACCCCAGGCCCCTCTGGGCTAAGGCAGAGGGTGTGCTTGCTTGCGTCTTCCCAGCCGTGATGTCCCATAGCCTTCCCCTTGGTGCCTGCTGGCACTGCGGTGTTCCTAGGGGCTCTTCTTGGTGCTCTGGGTGCCTTTTCCTTGTTTTGCTAGGCTGTTTACTTGTGCTTTTCAGGAGCCACTTTCTTCCTAGGATCATAGTTCACCCTGGGGTGTGATGTGTTTTCTGTGGGGCTCGGGAAAGCTCACAGGAGACTGAGTGGAGCCTGGAGACAAGGCCTTCATCACGGGTAACTAGAACTGAAGCTGACTGTCCAGGGTGGCTGGGTACAAACAGGCCTCTTGTTCTCTCAGGCTTTGTCTCGTTCTTGCTTTCAGCAGTGGGTGAACTCATAAACAAAGCTGTGGCCATTTGCACAGTGAAGTACTTGAGTCATGGTTCGTTTATGAGATTGTGCACCCAACATAATGACCCACATATCAGGAAAGCTAGAATTGAGCTGAGCAGCAGTGCGTCCTTGCACTGATCACTAAGTAGAATGTGTTCACATAGCTCAATGTTTGTCCTGACCTTGACTCTCTTGCCAGTTTGAATTGAAAAAGTAAGTAACTTTGCATCTTAAAAAACAATTGCTGATGCAGACTGTTAGGATATTTTTCTGTATTGCTTCTTCACCATGAATTGTATTAGTCACTTATCTTTTAAGTTAAAACAACACTCTGTACATCTTAGATATCTCATTCTTTGTGTTTTCATCTTAGATAGTTTTATAAATCTATGGGCTCACTGTGAAAGTATCAGGAAAAATATTTTGCCTCAAAGATTTTTGGGTTCCTGTGGGCTTTTTTCTTGCAAATTTGTTTTTAATGTTGATCCGTACCGCCCCCACCACTACTACTCTTATTTCATCAGGATAATTATTTTGACAGCAAGGTTAGAATTAGATTGGTGAAGTGCCAAAAGCATGACTTAGAAAACAAAAATGGTTTAGGACCCTGCTATAGACTTGATCTGGGTCAGACTAGATTTGCAGCTTACTCAATTTTAGAGTCAGCTGTCAGCTTTGTATGCAGAAGTCTCCCGGATGCATTGAGCAGAAGGGCGAGATTAGCATATTCATAAGGCCCTGGCTACTGGCCTTCTTTTTCTCCTCCCTCCTGCCTTCCCCGCCTCTCTCTGAATGAATCTAGGAACACAGACCCACAGGGTCCAGTTACTAGCTGGTTTCCTTCTGTTCAGTAGCTTCATCTGGCCAGGATGGTCTATGCTTCAGATTGCAAAAGCATGAGAAGATTCGGTAACTGAGAGGCTTCCTTCAGGCTGCTGGAAAATATTACAGAAGGAGCACATCCCAAATTTTGCTTCAGACTCTGAAGAATGGTTTACGCCACAGAGAGAGCTTAATCTTACTCTGGATCGAAGTAAATGCTAACGAAGCAGTGAACTGGGACTCTATGCAGACTCCGGGCTTATCTTGATAGGATTGGGTGTATGTTGTTGCAACTGGCAGGCCAGGAGGCCCTGAAACCAGCAGGTGCCATCTGTATGGAGAAAAGCGGCTGTAGTCCATTTCCAATGTGTTGGGCTAAAGGTATAAACGACTTAAAAATCTGTTTGGCTTATGTTTTATTTAAATTCATGTTTTTGCACTAAGAAAGGTACATAAGAGTTTTTCAGAATTTATTTTAAATAGGTTTGCTGTTAAACTGAAGGGAAAATGGAAATTGACGCAGTGGGGTTTAACAAGAATCCTGCAAGCCCAGTTAGGTACCTTCCCCTGGTAAGTACAGGGAGGTGCATTTACTGAGCCAGGCCATCTTTTCACGCTCTGTCCTGTGCCTCTTGAAAGGTTCACTTTTTCTCTTCCATTTAAGACATCCCTATTTGTTCTGTGATATGGAAGTTTTTAAAGAATAAAAAGACCAATTTTAACTTTATAAAAGACATAGGGAAAAGGAATAACATGGCTTTTCTTATTTAAAAAGTTTTTCCTTTATCATATAAAGCACTATAAAGATTATGTATTTAATTTGAAGGTCTTATTATTTTAAGATGAGCATATATCCAAGGCCCAGGAACTGTGAATAAACAGTTTTCCACTCTAATGTAGTTAGGGTTTTTATTTGCATAGAAATGTAGATATCAAAGTTGGCATTTTCATTGTAACATTCAAGACAGTATTTGGAAAGCATATTTAAAAGTTAAAAAGGCCATGTAGTTAGTACATGCTGAATCCAAGTAAATCTATCTTAAAGTACTAGTGGATATTTATCTAAGCAAAGTCCTTAATGAAGAATTTAATAAGTCTGTTGTAACTGAAGTATATTTAAGTGTCCTGTTGCTCTCCGAGGAAGGATTTTACTGGATGTACCTCAAGGCAGGAAACTGCATTTGTGTAAGCAGAGCTGCAAGCTGACTGGCTTTGGGTTCTAGGTTGAAATTTCCAGTCCATTGGGATGCGGACGTGTCAGACCAGACTGCAGTTACAGCATTAAATTTGTTTGTGGTGGTTGAGTCGTCTTTGCCATCTGTGAATTCTTTTTCGGTTCTCTCCCACAAAGCACATAATGTTAGAACTCTTCCAGTGTCTGCACAAGGCGTTTGTCACTTTATTACATGACTGGATACTCAGAAGAGATCTTGCCAAGTTAATGGAAACTCAAATTTTATGTATTTTCTGGGCACTGGGGATTGAATGCAGAAGTTTCACCACAGAGCCACATCTTTGGTCCTTTTTATTAATTTTTATTTTGAGACAGAGTCTCACTAAGTTGCTTAGGGTCTCACTAATTTACTGATGCTGGCTTTGAACTTGCACTATTCCTGCCTCAACCTCCGGAGCGGATGGATTACAGGCTTGTACAAACATGCCCAATGGAAATTTGTATTTTAAAGGTCATTTGGCATGGGGACTTTTTATAATTGTAGTTTCTTGGCTTTAGAACCATATGCTGAGCATAACCAGTGGTCAGAGGCAAAGAATTCTAAACTTGCTGACAATTTCCATCTTTTTACAGACTTGCTGGGGGCTGGTGGGCATAGTTCACCTTTGTATGTTAGCTCTGATAGGGAGTAGTAAGGTTCTTCCATGTTCTTCCAAGCCTATACTGGGTTCAAGATGGACAAGCACAGTTGCTGTGGGGCGTTATGAACTTTAGCAAGGGGGAGATGGTAGTGTTTTGGTTCATTGTAGAGCAAATGATCAGAGCAACTGGGTTTCCAAGGGTGTTTTTAGGTGGTCGGAAATGAACACAGTTGCTTCTAACTGAAGCAAACATTTATGATAGAACATGGGCCTGGGTGAGAGGGGCCAGAGCTCTCCCCTGGGGAGGATGTGAGTAGGGGATGTGACAAAGGCCAAAATTGGTTCATCTTAGGGCTGGAGCAAGCCAGTCCTCAGATGGGCTGGTTCTGATGGAGGTGCTGGCCTCCATCCCTGTCAGAGCTGAGTACTGCCCTCCCAACCCTAATGGCCCAGCCTCTGTGAGTTCCTTCCCTGCCTGCACAGCTTACTCCCTTGCACAAACAGGAAAGTAGCAGACCTGTACATGCTGGGTGATTTTTGGCTTCATGATAAGGACAAAGATGTTGGTGTACAGGAATTGGCTGAATTAGTTATTTCAAGTTTGAGAGTTAGGGTGTGAAGATAAGGTAAAGAGCTCACATCCAAAGAACATACAAATCTCTATCTTGAGTAGATATTCTAAACCACACACTTGACTTTATCAGTCACATTAACCTCAAAAAGCATAGCAGTGTCCCAATTTAAGAACACATAAAATTCTTACCAGGACAAGCTAAAAATAGTGGAATAGACCTATATTTATATACTTTGAAACAAAACTTTTAAGGTGTCCTTAAAGCACTCTGGGATCTTTTTGAAACAAAATTCATTGTACTGTTGAATTTGATCTAAAGATCTCACCCAAGAAGATTATATTGTAAAGTATTTTAAAAAGATTTTGTAACACGTGTAACTATATTGTGGTTTCCTAGGCATGAAGACAGTTTTAATTCAGAGTGCTGGATTAAAGGCCAATGTCCACAGTGTAAGGTGGCAGGGCTGTTGAGGCAGGGAGCCAGATTGGGCTGGTCCAGATTTATCAATATGCACAATGTGAAAGGCGGGAAGCTTAGGAGAGGGGTCAGCAGTGTTGTTGTTGGAAGTTGTTAAAGTCATGTTTGTTCTCTAATAGAATTTTAAACTCCATCTGCCAGTTAGTGCATCTGTCCATCCATGCAGATAGCCCTGCTTACTGCCCATTTATCTTCTCTAGCAGTCAGTTGCCTCTTGGTACCCACGTTTGATACTCGGAAGCATCTGATAACTTGCAGAGAGGAGCCTCCCAGTTGCTGCCTGAATCTCTGCTTGGTAGACAGTGGAACCCCATTTACTCAGTTCACACTGCCCATCCAGATCATCTCCTTGGCCCTTCTTCCACTTGTAACAAGCACATCATTCCATCATGAATTCTGCTTCCAACACACCTCAAGTTGTTAAACTTGTGTCCCTTTTGGTTGCGCCCACTCCCTGGTCTGTATTACCCCTTCTCCTATCAACTGAAACCTTGCAGGTGCTGCATGTGGTAGCCGCTCTGAGCAGTATATGCACAGAAGCTTATACAAATTGCCCCATGTAATTCCCACGAAGCCCATGAGGCAGGAATTCCTCAGAGTACCAGTTTTGCAGACAAGACAGTTGAGCCCCTGAGAGGTTAAGAGACTTGGCAGTGGTTGCTTAGCGCATGAAGGCAGTGTCAGGTTCTGATCATCAGGAGTCTGACTCCAGTATACTTAATCATTGTGGACACATATCCAAATGGAGAAACCATAGCTCACAATAGAATTATCTGCTTTGTATAATATATACATGTTGATAGAAGAATCATGACTTGTAATCTCAGATACTTTTCTTTGGATACCACTCATTCCACAAGTGTTCAGTGAGCACTTAGTGTATACTTAGTATACTCACTGACATCTGCAAGTTCTGCTATCAGAACTTGGCAGATGTCAGTGAGTAAAGCCTCCTACTCCCTGGTGAAGTTGGTCTTCCAGTGAGGAGCGTAGCAAATGATAAGAATAGTAAGTTAACAAGAATGAGTGATAGGTGCCCAGAGTCACAGTGAGGCTGTTGCCTCCAGATGGCAGTTTTCCGGAGATTGTCTGGCCAGCTGTGTTGTGAGGGTGTCATTCATAGAAGACCTGAAGGAAGTGAGGCATTGGCCTGGGATGTCTGAGGAAGAGGGCTCCAAGTGTTAAATGTATGGCAGAGATCCCTGATGGGGGAAGGGCAGCATGGTGGGGACGTGAATAGATCGAGGGCCTCTTCCTGACTCTGCTCACAGGTGTGGAATGGAAGGCCCACTAGGAACCAGCTGCACTTTTGCAGGTCACTTTGAATCCACCTTCCTTAAAAAGAGTTCAGTGAGAGGAGTCACTGGCGCTCAGTCCCTCCTCTACTGTGTGGGAAGCTGTATGCATTCTGATTTTCTGCAGGTGGGCTTTGCTCCTGTGTTCTGTGTGGGACCTCAGCATCAGGGCCTTCTTGCACCTGCACCATTCTGTCCCTGGCCTGACTGTTGGCTCTGGGAGAAGGCCATTGGTTCTCCAGCCTTTTCCTCTTTCATTTGAATTGGTTGTTTTTGCTCAGATATGGTCTTCTTAAGGAGACAGGCGGCATGCCTCAGTTGATGCTTTTCATCCCCACATTGCATTGGGCAGCACTGTCCTCAGGGCCCTGGTGGAGACAATGAACCACACAGAAGCCTAGTGTGTGTTCTCTGGCACCCTGTTTAATAAAAGGGAGCCATGCCCCCACCTCAAATGCAGCCCACCCACTGTGCTTTCTACCCTGTATCCCCCACACAGTAGACTCCTATATTTTCATGATTAATGAGGTAACTTGTCTGCTTGGAGCAACAGAGGTTTAAATTCTTAGAACCATATAAGAGGATGATGGAAATGTTTCTGGAAATTAGAAAACACCCACGTTTTTTCTTTTTGCTTTAATGGTTAGTGATGCTGATTTTTGAAGGGGCGGGGAAGAAAGCATTTACAGATCTTTGATTTCAAGTTCATTCATGGATGTTTAAACACTGAGGAATTTATTATAAGGTCAATGATTTTCTATATTCCTTTATATTTTGTTTGTTTGTTGTGCTGGGTATCACATCCAGGGCCTCAGGTGTGCTAAGCAAGCACTCTACCACTGAGCTATGTCGCCAGCCCCAATTTCCACCCCCTGTAGTACTGGGGATCAAACCTGAACTACACTATCAGTCCCTCTGTATTTCTTAACTTATCTAATTTTAGTTTAGAAGAGAGAAATTTAACTTTAAAACAATTATCATGAGATGTATTCATTTTGCATTTAAGTTATATTTGTAGATTTTCATAATGTAGCTCATGATTTTAGATTTTGGTTTAGATGCAGACTTTCTTCTTTAAGATAGACAGTTCAACTAATATACATCAGTGTTTTTGCTTTGTATTATGTCTCTCTTCCTGGAACGTTGCATAAAAGGAGTCCCATTTTAGGTCATCTATAAAGTTTGATGTTGAAAAGAAACCACTGGTAGTTTTAAGAGA